CTGCTTGTGCAGACACCCCCTGTCCCCATCACACACAACAGGCACAGGGAAAAGGATCAAACCATTACCTAGGCTGAGCTGCTCTCTTGATTTGATATTTTCTAAGCTGCTTTTCAGAACAGTCAGGTAAGCTGCTCTGCAGTTCATGTAGAAGTTTGCTTCTTCTGTGTGCTGGGGCTTCTTCCCTTGGGAATTTTCCGATTGTGTGGCTTTCTGAGCAGAGAGGGAAGTGTTATTCCTGGGACTGCTGGCCATCCTGGGAAGGATACAATTACAGTTAGAATCTCTTACCATTTCCCTGCTTAATAATGGCTCTGTTTGTCCTGTGAAACACACACGGCACCAATTTTCCTAACAATTAGGTCATATCCTTCCCATTCCCTAAATCTGGGATGGGAATAACTACCTACACTTGTAGGTAGCACCATGAGATCCACAAAAAAAAATAGCTTGAGCTCTACTTATTGCTCACAATTTATTCTTCATTGGCAGTAAAAAAGAAAATTTTATGGTATTTTATTTTAATTTCAGACATTTGATATCACAATTATTATATAGTATATAATGCAAATATTATATACTTATGTTTTTTGAAAGCATAAAACCATATTTTCTCATTATCTGTGAAACAAGCCACTGCTATCTGTGGTTTCTCTTTTTGCAGCTGTAACTCAATAAAACACATGGATAATAGTAAAACTGGTCAAAATTGTCACCCTTAGTCTTTCAATTCCACTCCTAGGAGTTATCTAAATATAAATAATAAAAACAGATGTTCATAAAACTTAAAAAATAAATACGCATAAAACTTCGAGCAACTTAGACCATGTAGTTGTAAATGAATGGAAAAAAACCCATGAAACGAATTTTTTCTCAATTATTAAAACAATTCCAAGCAGTAACTGATGCTGTTTGCTCACCAATGGCCCGTAAACTAACAGCAGCTTTCTGCTTTTTCCAAGGGTGATTAAGGTTTTTAGAAGGCCACCACAGAGGGCCACTAAATCCTGTTGTGCTGTTGCTCTAACAGCCCCTCGTATTATTTTACCCAATGTTGACTTCAGAAAATATATTCCAGTATAATAAATGGAATATCTCAAGTTCAGCAACAAGACAACGACATCAGAGGGTCCCCTCCAGGACTCATTGGATTTTGACTCGGGAGGCCTAAATCACTTGCACCTTGGTGAGTTATACAGGTCTTTTACACTTGGGAAAGGAAGATAATAATCTCTTCTCATGGATGAAGTGCCCTATTTGTAATACCCAGCCTGCCTGCCTGACACTTTAATATTACACAGGCACTAGAAAGACCCCACAGGGACCCCCTGCCACAGCCTGGCTCCTGCAAACGGGTATCACTATAATAAAGCACCCGTGTTACACACACAGAATGGAACTGGGGGGAAAGTCAAAGAGGAAAAGAAGAATAAATGTTAATTTTCCAGTAACTAGTTTGTAAAATGTGAACTCTCGTTTGTGCTCCTTGGACTTCCCATTGCTGAGATATTTCTTGTGTGGGCCACAGTTCTGCCAAGAAGTGCTGCCATTTCCATGGAGGGAAATGCAGGGAGTAAGGGCTCAGTGACAGCACTGCCAGATGCCCCATTGCTTGGCCTGGGATAAATGATAGTTTAGACAAAATAGATGGAGGGGAGCAACCCAGGCCGGGCTTTTAAACTGGGAGAGAGTAGGTTTAGATGGGATATTGGGATGAAATTGTTCCTTCTGAGGATGGTGAGGCCCTGGCACAGGTTGCCCAGAGAAGCTGTGGCTGCCCCATCCCTGGAAGTGTCCAAGGCCAGGTTGGATGGGGCTTGGAGCAACTTGGGATAGCAGAAGGCATCCCTGCCCATGGCAGAGGGTGGAACGGGATGGGTTTTAAGGTCTCTCCCAATCCAAACTAGTCTGTGATTCTACGCATCAGGAGGATGTCACAAGTACTATTACTTTTGATTTTTGGTGGTATGATTCTAACAGATAAAAAATATCTTCCAAACAGGAATTAAGTGACTGAATCACAGAATCCCAGAATCACTGAGGTTGGAAAAGCCCTCCAGGATCGAGTCCAGCCTGTGCCCGAATCCCACCTTGTCACCCAGCCCAGAGCACTGAGTGCCACGTCCAGTCGTCCCTGGGACACCTCCAGGGATGGGGACTCCACCACCTCCCTGGGCAGCCCCTTCCAATGCCTGACCACCCTTTATGTAAAGAAATTATTCCAAATATCCTAAGTCAGACCCCTCACGACAACACTGACCTTCAGGACCGAGGCTCATCCATAGAGCACGCCCATCTGCACAGGGAAGCTTCGCCCTGCTCCGGCCTCGCCCACCTGAAACGAGGAAACTTTTACCTCATGGATCTTGTCACCTCCCTCACCGGTGGGAGCAGCCCCTCTCAAGGGATAAATTTACCACCCACCGTAGAAAACATTACAATCTGCTTCCCCCATCGCGTCTGAGGGAAACCAACAGCCCTTCCTCCCCCCGCCCCCCAGGCGGTCCCTGAGGGGACCCCTGGGGTGCGTTTGGCCGCCCCGAACCTCCCGCCCGAAGCTCCCCGGCCCGGCTCGTACCGCGAACGGCGTGGCCCGACGAGCCCGGCCCGGCCAGGCCTGGGCCCCGCAGCCCTGAGGGGCTTCCCCGCCCCGCCCCGCCCCGCCCCGCCCCGGCCGGCCCGGCCCGCCCTCAGCGCCGTTTCCAGCCGGCGGCGTTTGGCGGGAGCACGGCGGGAACGGCGGCGGGATGTCGTGGGTATCGAGGGGCGAGCGGAGCCTTTCTGCTCCCCTTTCCTCACTTCTTCCTCTTCTTCCCTCTCCCCTTTCCCTCCGCTCCGCTCCCCTCCACTCCCCTCCCGGCGGCGGGACGGCTCCCGAGGGCGGGAAGCCGTGAGGGGAGCGCGGCTCGCGCCGGGCGGCGGCTCCCGAGCCCCTTCCGTGAGGGTCGTCCCGGAGAGGGGCGGGGCGGCCGGGGAGGGGGCGGGGTTTGTTTCCAGAGGAAAACATGGATCAGGAAATGGATGCGTGGGTGGGTGGCTGATATTGCTGTGGGTGATTCTGCATTCTGTATTTCTAAAGGGGCCTGGGGTGACTCCTTCCAGTGGTGCCCAGCGACAGGACAAGGAGCAATGGCCTTAAACTAAAACACATAGAGTTTCACCTAAACACGAGGAAGAACTTCTTCACACTGAGGGTGGCAGAGCACAGGAACAGCTGCCCAGGCAGGGCGTGGAGTCTCCCTCCCTGGAGACATTCCAGCCCCACCTGGACATGTTCCTGTGTCACCTGCTCCAGGTGACCCTGCCCTGGCAGGGGGTTGAAGTGAATGACCTCCAGAGGTCCCTTCCTCTCCCAGCTATTCTGTGATTCCGTATCTCTGCACACCCCATGGATAACGCATGTGGGCCTGTGTGGGAATGAGTGGGAGAGGGGCAGGAGAAAGGATCGCAGGATGGGTCAAGTTGGAAGGGACCACAGAGGGTCATCCGGTCCAACAGATGCTCCAGCAGAGAGTCATCCCAGACCACATGGCACGGGATTGTGTCCAGACAGTTCTGGAGTAACCCCAGTGAGGGAGACTCCACATCGTTTCTGGGCAATCCCAGTGCTCGGTTACTGCACAAGAAAGAGGTTCTTCCACGTGTTCAAATTGAATTTCCTGGGCATCAGTTTCTGCCTGTTGCCTCTTGGCCCATTGCTGGGCACCCCTGAGCAGAGCCTGGTCCATCCTCTGACCCCTCCCTTGAAGGGATTGGCAAAAAGCAGGTTTTAATATGAATTTATGAAAGTGTGACTTTAACAGAGTTCAGTGGCAAGGTTCACTCTATTACTACATAGATGAAGCATACACAGGAAAATAGGATCAGAATCCATTTAGGATGATTCCCATGGAGACTGGGGATGCAGAAGGCTCAGTGTTGCAAAGGATTTGATTACAAAAGATAGGGGTGCAAAAGGTGTTGACAACTTCAACAGCAGGAAGGTGAGGCCATAAGATCCATGATGCCTCTACATAGGCTTGGGATATTATCCCAGTTTATAACTCCATACAGATTTCAAAAGTAAATGGTAGAGCTGCCAGAGGTTCCAACCTCTGCCAGTTCTGACCGTGGAATCTGTAGCAGTCATGGCAGGATACAAAGGAAAAACAAAGGAAACTTAACAATACACAAGCTATGATTTTTTTTTTTTAAGTTGGCTTCTCACTGGTGATACACTGAGTTTCACCACCATTTAAGCTGAACATAGGAAATTATGGAGCAATATGTAAATAGCAGACAGGTGCTTTCTTTTTTTCTCCAGTAAAAGTAGAACCTTAAGAGGAAGTGAACTGAAGTGGCCTCAAAATGCACTACAATACCCTTCAGGGCATTTTTAATGAAATGTGATCAAATCCCTGATTCTCTGTGGTTTTTTGGTGCGTTAACCTTGGGCATGGCTGTTGCTGTTGCATTCATTCACAAATTATAAAGGAGAAGAAGTGAAGTTCTTTAGCCTAATAAATATTATGGGCAAAATAATCATTGCAGGTTGGACAGCTGGTTGGAAACACGTGCCATCATACTCTGCATGGTCAAGAAAATAAATTAAGTTGTCAGGCTACAATTCAAGGGCAGAAAACTCAAACTGAGTTGTTAAATACTGTCACCTCATGTACCTCATCTTTCCATCTCCTTTTTCTTGTTCACAGTCTGACATTTGGTTCTGCGCTGGAGCCAAAGTGAGGCTTTTCCAGCTGTGTAAAAAAGATCATAGAATCATAGAATCATAGAATAGATTGGGTTGGAAAAGACCTCCAAGATCATCAAGTCCAACCCCTGATCCAACTCCAATTACTATATCATGGCACTAAGGGCCACATCCAATCTCTGCTTAAAAACCTCCAGGGATGGTGAATCCACCACCTCTCTGGGTAGGCTGTTCCAATGCTTGATTACCCTCTCTGTAAAGAATTTCTTCCT